CACAACTCTCAGGGCTGGCAGGCATGGCGCCGCCTGACAAGAGACGTGGGCGCAGGTCTCTGGATCTGTCAGGTACGGTTGTCAGGCAGGAGATCTTCCTGTGATATGCCGAACTGCTCTTCTGTACTGAGCTACCCTACAAGTGGCAAGCTGCCTGGGGGGGGAACTATGCCAAACTCCTTGAGCTATGTCGAGCTGCTTGTGGCGAGCTCTGCCGAGCTTTCTGTGGTGAGCTATGCCAAGCTGTCTGTGGCAAACTATGGTAGGCTCTGCCGAACTGCCTGTGGCGAGCTATGTCGAACTGCTTGTGGCGAGCTCTGCCGAGCTGCCTGTGGCGAGCTATGGCAGGCTCTGCCGAACTACCTGTGGCGACCTATGCCGAGCTGCCCGAGCTGCCCAGTTGTCAAGAGGCTGCACTTGGTTTGCATGAAGTGCCAGGTGTCACAATTTCACTGGAGGGCCAAATCCGCCCTCATCAACAACGAAGTATCAATTTCCCACACCCCAATTGGAGGAAATGTTAGACCAACTTAGCTATGCCACAATGTTCACCAAGATAGACTTGAAGAGCAATTACCATGAGATCCACATTAGGACTAGTGATGAGTGGAAGATGGCCTTCAAGACCAAGGAAGGACCCTATGAGTGGTTTGTCATGTTGTTTGGGTTGTCCAACTTCCCATCAACTTTGATAGGGGTGATGACTCGACTTTTGTGGCCTTTTCTTGGAAAGTTTGTTGTTGTTTACTTTGAAGACATCCTTATATATAGTTTTAGTACTGATGAGCACATGCAATACCTATGTGAAGTTTTTTATGTTCCAAGTAGGGAGAAGTTCTTTGCAAATTTGAAAAAGCATTTGTTTTTGCAACCAAAGTCAATCTTCGTTTTGAGCTCTTAGCTAATGAAGTTAGAGTGGGTGAGTCCAAGGTTGCAACAATTGAGTGGCTTGCACCCAAGAACCTGCACAAGGTTAGGAGTTTCCATGGCCTCGCTTCCTTCTATTTAAGACTTCAACACCATTATGGCCCCAATCATGGATTGTATGAAAAACAATTTGCAAGATCAAGGAGAAGCTCACCAACATCTTTGTCCTTGCACTCCCTAACATTAATATCCTGTTCGGGCTTGAGTGTAGTGCATCCAAGGTTGGTATTAGAGCAGATTTTCATGTAGCTCAAGCATCCTATTGCCTATTTAAGTGAGAAGCTGAATGGGCTCTATCTCAACTATAGTACCTATGACACAAATTTCTTCATCATCGTTTGAGTACTCAAGCATTGGCAATACCATCTCATATCTACAGAGCTCGTCATCTACTTTGACCACAAGGCCCTCAAACACTTGAAGTCATAGATCCACCTCAATGTGAAACTAGCACTCTTAGTAGAAGGGTGTCTTTCATTGCATTGTCAAAAAACAAGTAACTCGATTATTTTCAGGGATGTATGTAGATGACTCTAATTTCTCTTCAATTTTTTTGGTTAACTTGTAATGGAGAACACAATATATACTTATCATTTTCATGATAGCAATTTGTTCATGGACAATTAGTTGTGTGTTCCTAATTGCTCCAAGCAGTTGCTAATTTTGTAGGAGATCCATAACAAAGGACATTTTGTGTGAGACAAAACTTATACCTTGATTGCAAGGTACTATTGGCCAAAGGTAAAATGAGATGTGGATAGATTTGGTAAGCACTGCATCTACCAGACCACTAAGGGCAGACTCTCTAATGTTGATCTATACCAACCATTGCTTGTACCCTCTTATCCCCAATTTGACATCAACATGGACTTCATCTTCATTCTACCTAGAACCTCACACAATGTCGATAGCATTTTGGTCATATATAGTTAACAAATTCTCCTAGATGATGCACTTCATCCCTTACCGAAAGGTCAATGATGCATCTTACACAACCCAACTTGTTTCTAGAAGTGGTGAGACTATATGTGGTTCCCAAATCCATTTTCTCTTACCGGGATAGAAAGTTTGTAGGAAATTTCTGGCAATACCTTTAGTGAAGTTGAATACCAAGATGAGGTTCAAAAGTTCCTACCACCCCCAAACCAATGGCAAATTGTAGTTAGTAGAGAAGTAAAGAAACTCTTGTGAGCCGAGATTAGAAAAGTTCCCCAATCCTAAGATACTACTTTACCCCTTGTTAATCTTTAATTACTACAACAAGAGTTGCCATCACATAACTCAACTCTCCCCCTTCCAAGTAATTTATGGCTTCCCTTGGAGTTGAATGAACTGCCAGTTGCACTAAAGTTAGTTGCTATTTGCTAAGCTAGATGACATGCTTGTCAAGCATAAGGAAATTTGTAGTAGAGTCAAAGCACAACTCGAGGCTTCAAAAAACTACTACAAGTAAAAGGGTGACAAGCATAAAAAGAAGGTAATTTTCAAAGTAGGCTACTTAGTTTGGGTCGTAATTTCCCTTGAATGCTTTTCGATGGACGACCCCAAATTCAAATGCCCCACCCCCGAACCCCACTGGGGCTAGAAATCAACTCCATCATCGTCTCCACGACGAATGGGGATCCCTAAATTTGCCCTTCCTCGTCCCAGTCATTCCTACAGGAATACTTCTAAATTTTTTTTTGGAAACTACCCAGAACTATTATGTAATACAATAGTATAATATAACAGATACTATTATAATATAACATAATATATTATAATATATATATATATATGTATATATATATTAACGGATTTATATATTATATAATATAATATAATCCAGGGATGAGGCAAGGCCCCATGGGGATGGGTCAAATTGCCATCTCTAAAGGCATGGTGTCAACCTAACACACGATAAGATAAAATTTATCTTACTAGTTTTTATATAATCTCTCATTGTTGTTATCAATGTTTTCGAACCACTGTTGACTCGGACGGTCAGACTGTTCGGCCTGGGAATCGTCCAGGCAACCGGTTCCATTTTACCCAAAACCCAAAATCTGGTAAAACGGAAAGGTTTGGCACCTTGATGTCGGTTCTTCGCCACCTGAGGTTGTATTATGTTCTAAGGGTTGGGGTATTCGTCCATTAAAGTGGTACGTGAGTTGGATTTAGAACATCGTGAGACAGTTCGGTCCATATCCRGTGTGGGCGTTAGAGCATTGAGAGGACCTTTCCCTAGTACGAGAGGATCGGGAAGGACACACCTCTGGTGTACCAGTTATCATGCCCACGGTAAGCGCTGGGTAGCCAAGTGCGGAGCGGATAACTRCTGAAAGCATCTAAGTAGTAAGCCCACCCCAAGATGAGTGCTCTCCTATTCCGACTTCCCCAGAGCCTCCGGTAGCACAACCGAGACAGCGACGGGTTCTCTGCCCCTGCGGGGATGGAGCGACAGAAGTTTTGAGAATCCAAGAAAAGGTCACAGCGAGACGAGCTGTTTATCATTACAATAGGTGTCATGTGGAAGTGCAGTGATGTATGCARCTGAGGCATCCTAACAGACCGATATAGACTTGAACCTTGTTCCTACATGACCCGATCAATTCGATCAGGCATTTGCCATCTATTTTCATTGTTCAACTCTTTGACAACACGAAAAAACCATTGCATTGTTCAACTCTTTGACAACATGAAAAAACCAAAAGCTCTGCCCTCCCTCTCTATCTATCMAAGGGATGAAAGGGCAGAGGCCTTTGGTGTCCCMTCCAGTCAAGAATTGGGGCCTCACAATCACTAGCCAATATGMTTTTCTCTCATGCCCTTCTTCGTTCATGGTTCGATATTCTGGTGTCCTAGGCGTAGAGGAACCACACCAATCCATCCCGAACTTGGTGGTTAAACTCTACTGCGGGATGATATTGTAGGGGAGGTCCTACGGAAAAATAGCTCGATGCCAGGATGATGAAAAGCTTAACACCTCTCATTCTTATTACTTATTCAACATGAAAAAGTATCGTCACCACAGTAGAGTTTAAAAAGTCAACAAACCGTTGACCCGAGCAATCAAACCATCAACCCGTTCAATGATTTTTGACTGTTTTTATTTTTTTTAATTTTGCTGTTAGAACAGGCCATCCATTCAAACCGGACGGTCAAACCGTTGACCCAGAAACCAGTGACCAAAACGGTTCCATTTCCAGATCGTTTTTTAAAACATTGGTTGTTATCTTTTTTTATTGTCATAAGAAGGAACAAGGAATTTTCCACATGATTAAAGTAGTGTTTATATTGGAGGTAGGAATATTTTTATGGGTTCCCGATGGTGTATATTTGGAAATATGCAATGCACTGGAATATATCTATCTCTATATGCTACGTACTTGGGACGCCAACTAAAATCCAAGTCATTGGACTGTTTCTTCAAAAACATTCCTAGATTTATGCATATTTCTCGAAAATATTTATGACTTTTAATGGGTTCGACTATGATATGAAAAGGATATGATATCTGAAAAACATCTGACCAATGAATTGAAATCATAGACTTGGTAGTGAATTATATATTATTTATCAAAATTCATGGGTGGGTTTTGATTGGTCAAAACTCTTTTCATATCATAGATTTTCCCCTGTTTTAACCCAAAAAAATCTCAACCAAACAGAAAATTCACATTTAAACTCAAAATGCCTTGATGTGGTACCATTTCAAGTAAAAACAGCAGTAATGCTACCAAACGTCACCAAAGTTGGGCTTTAGCCATATATTCATGATCCAGTTAACCTCCATTTGTGGGTCAAATTTAGTGAAAACACCTTTCAGTATGTTCTTATGAGAGAAATGCTTAATAATAAAATATTGAAACTTTGAGTGGTTGATGCTAACCGAGTAAAACACCGACACAAGATGGTTTACAGGGCGATCCCAATTGTAGGAATCAAATTAATAATTAAGTTGCCAATCCAGAGTGTCCCCCTCTGGTAAAAGAAGGAAGATGAGGAGGATTTGCTGAAACCAAATCAGCAAAACAAAATACATGAAGCCACTGGAATTATGGGATAATAATTAAGGGGAAAGAAAACCTTACCTGGATAATCTGAATTTGATGCTCCAAACGGGTTATAGCCGCTGCCATCCGATGCTTTCCCAGATAGCTATCTTGGACAACCGGGAGACGTGAGTTTGGTTTCTTGGCCACCGTCGCCAACGGTGAAGATGAAGATGATGGTTGTTCTTCCTCCATGGCTGGCCCTGGCAAGACCTCCTTCACGGAGAGAGAAAAGAAAGGTCAAAGACGGAGGGAGGATTAATAAAAAGTCCTAAACGACAAGGCAAATGATAAAGAATTCCCAAGACAACCAGGCAATAATGGGATGAGACCTGTCGACTAAAAAACCCCAATCCCTTATGAGTTATGACCCACATCCACCCACCCACCCACCACTTGCATCCTAAACAAGATGTCAATTCCTAAATTAATTCCTTATTCATTAGATTGTTTCAAGAATATATTCAGCGCGGCTACAAGCATCTGTCTCAGCCATCCATAGTTGAACACTTACCCAAAAGCAATAAAAAAATGTTCTGTTATTTAGGGGGATATAAGAACTGTTTCTTTTGTTGTGATTTTAAGAAAATTGGGCCCCATGATCTAAGAAAACTGCTCGATTTCTCAAAACAAAACCATGGAAAGCAAGTTCTTCTTTGTATAGAAAGCTTTTTCTTTTGTTATGTTGATTTGGTGGGTGTTTGGCATTGATGTCGTTTTCTGAGAAAACGGTACCACGTAGGCACTACATCAGAAAAAGCGGTGCTTCAGAAAACAGCCTCTTATTTGGTGCCATTTTTTCATAAAAAGAAAGTTGCTTTAGACCATATGCACCTTGGAAATCGAGAAAGTGTGGTATGAAGCAACGCTAAATTTGATGTTTTCTCAGAAAATAGCTTGTTGTTGCCAGCGGTGCAATGATGTCGCATCAATGTGGCATCATCTTGGATGTTAAGTAATATGACCAATGCTGAAAACAGTTCTACAACACTGGTAGACCTGTTCATGGGCCGGGTAGCTTCACGAGCCGGCCCAGCTTGGCCCGATCTAAGTCGAGCTTGGATAGGATTTCAGGCCCGTGGGCTCAGACTCTGGCCTAATATATCGGGCCCGACCTTTTTCATGCCGGGCTCGGGCTTTCTCAGAAAAGCCTAGCTCGAGTCCGACTTGATAATGTGTTATATAATAAAAATATATTTTCATATAACAAAAAAGCATATATATAATATATATATTTTTTATTTTTCTTCTCTTTTTTCAAGTAATAATGAGATCTTTCATTATTACTTGAAAATATAAGTCAAGGCTTCAACGCAACGCGCCAAACAACCTTGATCACTACGGCCTCAAGAGTTGGGGGCGGGGGGGCAAGTGATATAGTGGTATTCAACCAACCCACAGATCTTGACACGTAGCCCCGGTCGGATGCATCCTGGCCATCCTATAGACACTGACACATGGCATCGCCCAGACGTGTCCTAGCCACCCATCACCAACCATTGCCAACCGCCGCCACCTGCCCCCAACTACTCCTCTCAGGCAACTCGGACTATAAAAATGGGCTCCTACATTGAAGTAAACACACAATGGAACTTAAGCTCTAAGTCTCCTCTCTTGCTTGGTCCAACCCCTTACAGCCCTCGGCTAACTCCCGGGGCCTCTAACATCTTCTTTCTCTCAGTAGGTTGGACCCATTGGCCTCAGACATTGGAAATTACAATGTTACCCTCGACTCCATATTTGGCAGCAACAATAAGAATAAAATTTTAATTTGTTTATGATAATTAAGGGGAAGTAATACATAAGTTGTACTAGCATATGCTTACTTAGAGGATTTTTGGCAATTGGGTGTCAAAAGATGGAATTGGTGCCATTGGACGCTTATTCATTAGTCTAGCAGTCATGAAAGCAGATAAAAGAAAGAAATTGGTTATGTGGTGAATGTAATCCAGCAGAGAACCATTCCTATATTTTCCAGGTGGGCAGTTTGGAAATATTTTTTACGATGACCCAAAACAGTGGCGCATGAACTTCATTGGAAATGCTGGAAGGTCCATATATAACAACTCGTTTGCTTAAATAGAATAAGTGAACTTGATTTTGGAACTCATTAATGTACTAGTCTGATGGAAATCTATTATGCAGTATCTTTGATCTCAATACACAATTATTACCAGCTTATTTCGTTCCTCTGGCATCTCATGAAAATCTTGCCAAGGTATCCATGAACATAAAGTTAATTCTTTGTTTTGATTTTTTTTTTAATACCTTGAAATTTCCAATTTTAGTGGCAGAGATTCTTTACTTAGAATTATTATGTGTTTTCAAAAGACTGATAATTTTTTATTATTATCAATTATTTTTACTAATTCAAATATTAAGATTGTTGAGTGGAAAAAACAAAAAGATAGGATTATAAATGAGAATATTTTTGGGCATCTAATCTAATAAGATGGAGTGATCTTTTGCTAGTTGAAGGCTATAAAAGAGCTACGGGCAGGCTAAAAAGTGCATGGTTCAAAGTAATGAGGAATGGTTTGAAGTTCATAATTGTGAAATGAACGTGGGGCTGAATACAACAGAATGGCAGAATAGAATTCATTTAGCCAACCCCATATAGTTGGAACGAGGCATTGTTGAGTTGAGTGTTCAATTATCTATCAGAAAAAAAAATGCACATTTTGTACATAACTTTTTTTATAACTACCCATCTTTATATTGAGCATGACCATTTTTATAACTATCCATCTTTATATTGGGCACGACCAAGGTAATGGAAAAAAAAAAATGAGAGGCTTTCTATTGAAAGGCTGAAGGAAGAGTTTAAATTGCATCTGGTTAAGTGGAGTAAGGTCTGAAAATCAAGCAAGGCAAAAGGATTGGGGGTGAGGATGATGAGAAAATTTAATACGGTTGCCTTTGAAAGAGGTTATGGAGATGAAATGAACAACTTAATATGCTATGGAGAACTATAATGGCAAAATATGGTGGTAGTAATATGAATTGAGAACCAGCAGAGACATTTATCATATGGTTGTGCAGTGTGGAGGGGCATTTAGAAGTTCTTGAGTTCAAAAGAGGAATCAAGTTTATGGTTGGAGACGGCACAAAGATAAAATTTTGGCAAGACATATGGTGCAGAGATCGACCTCTTGAAGAGATTTTCCCTTCTCTATATGAGATTGCGCAAAATAAGGAGATAAATGAAACAATTTCTCAGGAAGGAAGATATCTCAGTCCAGGTCTTTGATCAGTGTCAATGGGAATAATCTCAAGAAGAGAAATTTGAATATATCCATAGGATCAACCTTAGGACTTAATGGCCAACTTAGGATTCTCAACATATTTACTATACCCTGGGTACCCATGCACTTTACGGTAGTCATACACATTCACATGAGCAAGAATGATTATAATGGGATATATTAAGGTATTGTTCTAGAAAAAGAACAATTCCTAGAATGCTTCTCTCCAGCACTTATTTGTACTAGGAGACATTTTCGATCCATTATCTCTCACATGTGGTCATATCTTCTAATGGTGCGCGATCTGGTCACTCCTAGCTGGAAGTGGCTGCGCTCTTACCTGGTGACGGATGAGAGATACCTGTGAGGAAGAAGATGAAGGAACCCGGGGGGCTCACCCGACGGGAACACTTCGATGGTTAAGTTAGTAACTAGATTGAAAGTTGGGAGAGAAAGAGAGAGAGAGAGAGAGAGAAAGAGAGAGTTGCAGAGAAATTAAAGAGCTAGAGTGATGATCACGCAATACCTTCGCCTCTGGGGGTCGGGGTCCTTATATACTAGTATCCTGACATGTCAAGTACAACCGCTTTTGAATCTCTGCTGCGGCGATATGTTGTCAGATAACGGCTTGAAGTGGCTTGCCATTATTTTGTCAGAGCTGAGCTGGTGGGCGAAGGTGATCGCTGCAGAGTACGGTCCTGCCAGACAAAAAAAACAGCCTCTAGGGTTGACAGGCACGATGCTGCCAAGCGAGAGACGTGGGCACAGTCTCCAGGTTTGGCAGGTATGGTTGTCAGGCAAGAAACCCCCTGCGATACCCCAAGCTGCTCTGCAGCAAGCTACCTTACACCGAGTTGCTGGTGATATGCCTAGGTGCTTCTATCCGAGGCAGGTCTCCGAGGTGGCCTACTTTGGTTTGGATAGGAGCGAGCTTATTCTTGCTATGGAGGTGATGAGCTTAACCCGAAGTGTCTTCAGTTCGGGAGGCTCCCTGCTTGGGAGAATCTTAGCTCGGGGTGCTCCCTACTTGGGAGAGTCTTAACTCGGGGCAACGGAGTATTATCTCATAGCGAGTTGCCATTCATGGCGAGCTCGTTACGCTGAGTTGTCACTTATGTCGAGTCACGTCCACGTGTCCCCTCATTATGAGGTCGGGCCAAATCACCCTCCATCAATTGCCCCCAACTCCCCGGGCCAGGGGTCCTGACCTAGTGCGGGGAGTTCACGGCGTGACAGGTGGATTTGGCTCGAGATTCAGGCCATCCAATCAGACAGTTTGTCGGTCGGATCAATTCAGCTGCTCGACTCAACCAAGCATTACCCAGGTCGCATGCAGTTTACGCGTGGACGTCACGCGATCTATAGACTCCACGGACACCAAAAAATGCGCTAAACTGATTTCAACCTCGAGGGTCGTGCAACCGGTTTTCTTAGGAACCGTCAGATATCCTTGATCTCGACCGTTGATCCCCTGACCTTGCGACTATAAATAGGGAGGACCTGAGTCATTTTCTCCACCATAAGTTTACTAGCATTCGCCTTGAGGTCGCGGTTAAAGTCCTCAGCTCAGGTTTTCTAGTTCGTTAGTCTTTCAGTTCGGTCTCTCTTCTTGGTGAGTCTCCTTAGCTTCTCTTTTCAGTTTGTTTCAGTTCAATAGTTAGGTCAATCCTTTGGCTTCCCTTCTTGGTGGGTACCTCGGCTCAAGTGGGCCTTTCTGAGGTGCAATCCTCTTATGAGGCGCGGGAGGCCTCACATAACCCGGCATCCACCTCTTCTCGAGGTCGGGTGCCAGACAAGTTCGGTTCCTCAACCATGACCATAGATAGACTTAGGGCCCTAATACATAAGTACAACCTCCCGAGGGAGTATACCTATAACCTTCACGCGGGCAACTTCCCTTGGGAACACGATCTTGATGAGATTGTGATCTTCAGAGAACAGCTCGCGGCTGGACTCTGTCTTCCTCTACACCCCTAATCATATCAAGGTGTTGATGTCAGAGAAGGAAGATTTGTTGCA